TATATATATATATAGTACTAGCGAAGAACAGAAAGAGACGGATTTAAAATGTACAATTTGCCGAATAAGATAAAGAGGGAACAAAGGTTGCAAAGTTTTAGAAGGATGCTGGCGCAACATATCAAGAGGAGATAGCGTGGAGATGTACAGTAGATACAATAAGAAAAAAGTATTTAAAAATTTATTCGCAGGAAATATAAGGTTTATTTCTGTGAAATAAACTTTACATCCCCACGGATAAATTTTTCAAGTACCTTCTTCTCAGTGTAATAAGACGATAAACAATTATTATTATACACAATATTATGTTTGTAAATACTGTTGTAACATAGCTACTGGAGTTAATAAATATCTATCATCTCTCTCTCTCTCTCTTTCTCTCTGACCGCACCGTATATCGAGCCGTTATCGATTTTGCAATTATCTGACAATACCTCGGCGCCGCGTGTATCATGTATGGTACATGTACGCGCACGTACGTAGGTATGTTTACGGTGATCGTGTTATTATGCGCTAATAATATCCGCGCGGTCTCCACGTGAGTGTCTCGCGTGTTGCCGCGCGCGCAACTCTTAACGCGAATTGGCATGGGGCCTGCATCGCACGCTGGAATCTATAAGAGACGCGGATATGGAAAAACGGCCTCACGAGCCGCGTCCACAGACGGTGTGTTTCGCTATTTTTACACGCGCGCTATTTTTGCGGCATTTGTGTTCACGCGAGGTAATGCGCGCGAGAGACGGGGTTGACTTGATTCTATCTTTCCTTTTTGAAACAAAGTTTTTTTATTGGATTTTGCTCTTACATCGTATCGATATCGTTAATTTCACACACCAGTAGTAGTAGTAGAAAACTGTGTATTACCGATTACACTCTTCTCTACGATAGAACTCTCCCCCTCTCTCTCTCTCTCTCTCTCTCTCCCTCTTTCTTTCTATATGCATGTGATTTTTCTTCCTCTTCTTCTTTTTGTGTATCAGGTACAATACAAGGCTGAACAAAATATGACTATGCGATTTTGTTCGAATCAATTAAAATTCTGTCACGATTGGGATATCGCATTGTTAAAAATCGTGTGTCCGCTCGTGTAGTACCCTCTCTGAGATGTATACAAAGTAACTTATATATATATATATATATGTATTTATATATATATTGTATATATTTATTTCTCTGGTACGTATATGTGTGTGTGTGTGTGTGTGTGTGTGTGTGTAATGTATATTTCGTAAAATACATACTCTAATTTCAGTGTCCTCTTCGTTTATAGCAAAATAAACTCTTGCTTAATATACAATATTTCCCGTGTACCGACATGCAGCAAGCCGAACGCATGCACTTTTAACTCGCATCGCAGTAGCAATGTACAATTAGTCTATCGCTTCGTTTTTTTTTTTTCTTCCGCGGATATAGTTTAATTTTTCTGGATAACTTTAGTCTGGACAATTAAGTTGCGTAAAGATAGACATGAGTTGCCGGTAGACGGCTGTCGCGTCTCACACGACGAAACAACACCAAAGTAACAATAACAGTGAAGCCTCAAGGACGCCTTTAACCCCGTGCCGCGCAACGACTAAGGCAAACAAGTCGGCGTGATACGTCATGCGATCTCGCGTGTCAAAGGGACATCGTCGCGTCATCAACGCATGCATAACGGACGAAAAAGGTGTGTAACGTATAGATTACGCGAGACATGTTGTTTCCCGACAAGTTTCGCAGTATGAAAGAACGCATACTTAAAACTCCTTCTTCAAAGCGGACTGCAGTAGCGCGTTGCGCATCGATGTCACGAGCTTCTCCAGCTCCTCGACCTTCATCTTCAGTATCTTGTTGTCCTTCTCCAGTTGGACCGCCCTTACGGCCATTTCCGACTCCTTGGCTTTCTTGTTCATCCGCGACTTCCGCGACGCCTCGTTGTTCTTCTCGCGGGACTCTCGGTATTGCATGAGAGTGATATCTTCATCATCATCCTCATCATCATCCTCCTCCTCCTCGTCCGAGTCGCTCTCGTAGTACCTCTTCCGGTCGTTCTTTTCTTTCTTCGTTCTGACGGTGATTCTCTCCTTCCCTTTGTTATTGGCCAATGAGGACCTCGTCCTCTCCGACCTCCGGGATGACGTCGTGGGGGTCTCCACGGGGGACGATGTCATCGTCGAAGTCGCACGGGTCTCCATTCTTCGACGCTTTGGCGGCTCGGTTATCTCCTCGGTCTTCACCTCGGTCTTCACCTTCGCGGAGTTCGCTGTGAATATCGGCGACGACGCCGTGAGCGATCTTTGCTTCAACACTGCCGTGGAATCGGTGGAAACGCTACCTTCCGGCGAACGCATCTCGTCCTGCGACCAAGATATCGATTTTATCAGTCAGCTCAGTTTCATCGGCCGAATCGAATAACAATAATGCGATAAAGTAACATAAAAGTTCCAGTGGACAACGCCACAGGTTGCGCCAAGCCTGCGATAAAATCATCAACTTACGTCGCAAAGGTATGACAATAGGTCGAACGTGTCGGAGCCAATCGCCTCGATCGTAGGTAGCTCGTCCCATGTTTCGTGCTGGCCTGCGGTGGAATCAAACGAGGCCGGGCAAGCGTAATCGTTGCTCACGCGATACTCAGGTTGGATTGGTGCGCTAATGTCGGTTGTGTTATGCTGTTTACTCGACGAGGTACTTGTAGAAGCTGTTGATTCGGGTGACATTAACCACGAGCTGGACGCATAGTTCTCCTCGTTACCGTACCCTTTCTCGTATTTAACCAGTTCCGTTGGGGACAGCAGCAAGTGACGAGTGTCACTTGACTCCCCGGTAGTCGCCTTAACGGTATCCATTTTTAAATTCCACTTCTCATCATCGGTCCTATCCCTCAAATCCTTTAATATACCGTCCTCTTCCACAGTCGAAACGCCGTTACCCTCGTATTTCGTACCTGAAAGCGAGCATGTCTTAGCTGTCGACTCGCCTGAGAGATCTCGCGTCGATAACATTTTCGTGATTTATACAACGAAACAAATACCCCAGCAGCAGAATTCCCCAGACAGCCAACCACGTTGGGGAGGGAGCATTTAAGACCAATGAAAAGCATCGCTGGATTTCAGCGCGGACGACGAGCTTTCGCGGACTTTAAACGCCGTTATCGTAAAAACCCCCCCGTCCCGACTTATTTGGTGATACTTTAAGTGGTGCCAATGAAAGTAATCGATCGTACAGCATCTCTCAAGGAAGATGAACACGTACCTGATAGTTTAAACGTAGTCGATTCACCTATATGAAAATCGCATTGAGCCTGGAACGTGTCCATGCACCAACTGCTCAGATCCTGAAAGTTCTCCTCCCAAGCGGAGAATGCCGCGGTGTCCTCTTCTTTCGTCGGATTTGCCTTTGTGCGCGGGAATACCCAGGGCTCCTTCAAAAGTTCGGACTCCATTGTCGGGCTCAGCAGAGGTATGGTATCTACCTTGGTAGAGGCGACAATGCCTTCGCCCAGTGGCCGCGATCTCACGCCACGAGAAACAGATAACGGAAGCGGCTGACGGTTGCATGGTTTTGATACCTGAAACGTTCGTGTCACACCGATCAGATCGACCGGTTGATCGTCCATCCCGGCAGAAACTCCCTTCCGGAAGAGGGATTTTTTTTCTTTCCTCCGCAGTTACTCACGTTAAAGACACCTCCTTCCTCAACTGAAATGTTGCTGGTTGTTGGACGTTCGTAGATAGGAGGGATTTTGGAAGCCTGAAACACAAGAGGACGGTGATTCAGTGCGAGGTCAGGCGTTGAACCACGAGTTCGGTCGGATGTACCCAACAATTGGACGACCAGGCGCGTTTTCGCAATTTCTCGACGAAGCAAATTCTGTCTCCTTCGACGAAAACGCCCGGTCCTCCGTTCTAAATCCCGGTAGATCCGAACAAACTGATTTTTCCAATAGAAGTCATCCAGCTCGATCGCGTGTGGCATTCACCTTAGAACCTCTCTAGGCCCGTACCAGATTAGGCGTGGGAAAATCGATAGCGAATCGGACATTCGAGAATTCGATGATGCAACTCATTTTCGATCTTGGCTCGGCTCGAGTCCTGATCGGTCAAACTCCAATCTGCGGACTCGGTGCCCGGGAGGGGACACTCGCGGGCGCTCGCGGATTTCTTACTGCGTCAACAGCTACGTCAATCACATCCCTCGCGCGTACAGATCATTCGACGTATCTACAATGTTGCTGCCCAAACGACTGCCGTATCGACAACAGTTCCGAGAAACGCGGAAAGGTTATTAACGGTCATTAGTGCTTTCGATTAATCTGATATAAACAATGTTGGATACACATATATGCATATATCTAGACACTCGTGTCTTCCGCGGCGGAGTGAAAGGGCGGAACAATCATTTATCACGATAAGATCGCGCGCGTCGCACCGGGAAATTAATTTCGCCCGACGAGATGCGCATTTACGCGCGCGCGCGCGCGCGCGAGTGACTCCGCGAATTTCGCGAATTTTCCTCAGATGCTGTCGCCGGTAAATATAGAGAGAGAGTCGATATATTCGCGCGTTGCTGCGCGAATCACACCGCCGATTCTACGATGCGATCTATGATGCGCCTCGCGCGCGCGCGATTTTTCGCTTAGTCATCCCCGAGCGCGCCGCAACGCCCGAATCTCTTACATCACGATTTCCTCGTGTACGTAACGCGAATTATCTTATCTCCCAACATCTCACCGCCGTTCACAAGTGGACACCTCGGCTCAAGCCACTTAAGAGAGCAAACAGCTTTGTTGTGCTCGACAGATTATCGCGATTGTCAAAGGTATGCATCCCCCCCCCCCCNCCCCCCCCCCGCCGCGCGGAAAAGAAAATTCGCTCGTGCGCGCTTGCTTCCGACACGGTCCCGACGCTTCTTCCCCCGCGACGCAGCCGATGATGCGATGAGAGCTCAGCTGATGATTGGAATCGGTCGCGAGAACAGCTTCTCTCATCGGATCAGTCGAGCAGGTGTTGACACGGCGAAGAAACCGAAGGGCACGTTACACCCTTCTCTGCACGTACGTCCAAGGGTCGTCTCAAAGAGACGTCCTTTGGGCGTCTCACTGTCTAAGCCTGCCTGGAACACAACACGTCGTATGCCGGGACGCAGCTGACCGGAGCCAATGAGAGAATTTACTTTGCCCCGAAGACGAGTTTTCCCTTCGTTGAACCGTCGGCTGCGTCCCTCCCTACATCCGACAGCGACATACGTGTGTTCTTCAAGGCCCAAAAGACGTCTTTCGACGTCTCGTTCTGTCACGCCAACGAGTGCTGGAATGCGATTTCGCAGAGTTTCGACTTACGCGTGCGATTTCTCTTCCCGACGCTCTTTCTCTCCCTCTCTCTCTCTGTCTGATCAGCGCTCGCGGGTGAGGAGGCGCACTGCGGGAAAAGCGACAGTCAGCGGAGTTAGGTCGACGAGTGGTTACGTAACGGCCGGGGGGCGTCCGGACGCATGTGACTGGGATTTTCGCGAACCGGCGCGAGTTACATCATCCGATGTCCGGCTGTTATCCACGCGACCTGATCGCGACAACAGATGTGCGATCCACGTAAGGCCTCTCTCTCTCTTTCTCTCCTGTCTGCCCGTCTCCGTCCGTTCCTCGCCGGGGACACTCTCGAAGGAGGGACGACTATATCCGTCGCGCGGCCGAAAATATATAGTCGACGACTACGGCGACGGCGACGTCAACACGCGTCGCGCGCTCCAATCGATCCCACGACTACGCAGCACTTTTCAACCGGAGCAGCGGCGGCGGCGGCGGCGGCGATGGCGATGTTCTCTCTCTCTCTCTCTCTCTTTCGCGCGCACGCTAAGGCCTGGGTCGAGGCGACCGCGTTATAATATTATATGCACCTGTTTCCTTCCGTCGGCCAAGGCGGCCGTTATATAACACCCGCGCGAGAGAATCGCTATATCGGGGAATCACGACGATGAGACGATTACTCACCCTCCCTGAGACGATCGATGCCGGTGTACCTTCCACTTGGGCCGGGTAGAGCAGGTAGAAAAAAACGCCCAAGGACAGTCGGTCTGTTTCTCAGTGATCCCGCTGGAAAAACGTGCGCTCTCGCTCGCTCGCGCTCGACTCGCTCGCTCTCTCTCTCTCTTTCGCTTTTTCCGTCTCTCTCTCTCTCTCTCTCTCTTTCGCTCACTCGCCCACTCGCTCGGCCGACGGCGTGTCAGAATGTGTCAGGTGTATGCGTCGTGTATATCCGAACGTGTGCGCGGTGTATACTTTCTGGATGGTGCGCCCCGTATGTAGTCAGTTCGAATGTCGTCCACAGAATGCGGCTGGAAGGCGGCAGTGCCGGGTTAAACCACGTCACGGGACCGCGTTCCGCGAGCGCGCTCTCGGATACCAGACCGGTCGGGGACGTCACCGGCGGCGAATCAACGACGACCCTGTGCTCACCGCTCGCGAATCGCGCCAGCCGGCGGTGCTGTCGCGGCGCCGCCGCCGCGTCGTACGGAACACGTCATGTGTAGAATTCGAGACGATAATCTCGCGGGAGTCGATAATTTATTATTCTTTCGTCCGGTTGCCTGGCGCGGCCGGCCGCCTGTTACTCTCCAGGCGGATGCGTTCTCTCTCTCTCTCTCTTGGCGAATTCGATCGCTCGCGCTCGACACCGGGTCGATACGTGCCGCAGGCTGGTTTACAATGAAACAATTATTTGAATAAGAAGAGACATTCGGGACGACCGAACGCGCTAATAATAACCCACACAACAAAATATATCTGAGATATAATCACAGATATTTTTGTATCTGTAATTTTAAATTGTATCTAAGATATCTTAATTTTAGATATTCACAGAATATCCGCAGGACATCGTTGCTCGATATCATATTTTTCCTTTGAATAAAAATCTGCAACGTTTGCATACGACTGTAGCCGGTATCGGAATTTTACCGCTCAGATATCTCCGTGATATCTTGACAATCAGATATTTAGACACTAAGGTATTTCGCAAATATCTCTATGATATATTTTGCCGTGAGTTAACATAAGCACTATGGCTGGATGAAACAATTAGTGCCATTGTATTCCCAGATAGAAGAGAAAGTGACGATGACCTCAAAATGATATCGAAATAACGTCAAAATGACGAGAAAATGATTATAAAAGACTTATTTTTTAATAATTTTCTCATCATTTTCATGTTATTTCGACGCCATTTTCTGTTCTCTCTGAGCTTGGATACTTAGTGTGTAACGGTACCGATCCGGTGTAATGCGGATGATCGATTTCGTCACCTCTCTTTCCTCGTTCTGTTAACAACAGGAACACTTTCTTGGCCGTCCACCGGAGTTTCGCAAACCTAGCGAACGTCGTTTACGGCCACCCGGTATCTCTCGTTATCAATCCGAGACATCTCTCTTTCTGTCGTTATCTTGATAGTACACGAAGAGACCATCGGAAAGCTTTTTCGATTCGCGATATCATCTCTTTCCTGTAATGCGCGTGCGCGAGACTAATATCTTTTGATAACACATCGATATACGATATGCGCGTATGAGTCATCGAGCGCGAAATCGCTGAGCCGCGCGCAGCGAAACAATAGGCAAATGGAATTCGCAAGCGTGAATCGACCCTGAGAATATTTTCGCGCGGAGAAAGTATGGGCGATCAGCCACGAAAAAGACAGAGAGAGAGAGAGAGAGAAGGTAGAGCGATAAACAGAAGAGGCGGCAAATGCAAGTGAAAGCGCGCGAGAGCGACCGAGGTTTTCGATCGGAGATTCGATTCTCGCTCCGGGTTCGCTTCCTTCGCACAATATCGCGTGGTGTAAATCGCACGACAATGTATCTCGTCATTCGTGTGTAAATATGTGAAAAATTCTTACGCTGAAAGCATAGACGAAACATCGCGACGACGAGCCGCCGGCGGGAACGATTAAATATTATTTGTGGGACACACACATATGCACGCGCGCGCGCGCGCACAGAACACCAAGTTAAGCTACATATTGTTGCCTCAGTAATGCGTTGTTCGATGTTATCATGTAACGGTGCAGTCGACTCGCGATAAGCATGGTCGATGGTGGCCAGATGGAGCTGCAAGTCTAAGGCGGGAATGCAACTTTGTTTCTTTTTTACACTTCAACCGATAAAAACGAAGATTGGTTAGAAACCGAGATTGGGAGGACTTCGTTTTTTCACAAAGCGATCTCATTACCGGAGATATAACGCGGTTAGCAGAGTTGTTATCGGAGAGAAATAATTTTTGACGAGAACAGCGTTGCAATTAACGGCACTGCTTCCGAATCTTGCCGAGAATTAATGACCGGAAGAAGCAATTTGCGATCATTTCAGGCTGAAAAGGTAACTTTCACCGAATTCCAATTAATCTATCCGACGAATTCATCCAGCAATATACATTTCTCAAAGACATTTTAGAGATGTGTGAAAGATACGTAAAAAAAAAGATATATACATATATATCTTGGACATCCTCTTAAGGCGTCTTTTAGAAATTTGTGCTGTCCGCAGAATAAAAAGCATGTGTAAGTGTTGAAATATCAATATCTTGTAAGTGTGAAAATAATACATTTTACATTTCAGTATTAATTAATTACGACATATCATGGATATTAATTGGACCGTTTGGGACATGTGAAATATGTGAAATTTTTTCTTCTATAAACATAGTAGTATTGAAAATTTCCAACTTATTTTTCAATATTTATGCATCATGACTGCTGCTTTGGAGAAAGCTTAATCTGCATACATAATAAATTTGACCTTTTTCGCGTCCTCGGCGTCAGAATATTCCGCCATTGATGTACTATCGAAAGACATAAGACGCGAAAGCGTTTTTGTCGTGTTAATCGCGCATTTATGAAGAGCGGAAAGAAACAGATTCGTTTGAGGATAAATTGGATATTAATTTATTGGGAAAAAGCCGTCCGAACGATTTGGCGATGTGGTAATCGAGAGATGACGGCGAGATGACGACACGGACGCTACCTCTTCCGAGAATTTAACACGAGGAAATAGAATAAATCGAAGGGGTATTTCGAGATTATTCGCGTCCCAACGACTTCTCCTTTCACCCACACGTACAATTATCATAATTTATCGCGGACAAACGCGGTTCTCCGAAGCGAAGATGGAATTCCCCGTATGACGTCACCAGGAACTCCACAGTGTTCTAACGAGGGTCGCAGGGCTCGAATTCCACAATACTTAACGTTGAAAGGTAACGTTCATTCTTCAACGTTAGTCTGAATATTGAACTACGCGATAAACAACGTTTACCTTGTAAATATCTATAAATATCAGTTATACTTTGTACCGATGTCATTGTAATTTGAATCCTCGAGCAACGGGATCATGTGGATCATCGATATATGCTCACCGTCTGCTTTAGACAGTTGCATTTATATAAAATTTTAATTAACCACCAATAAATCACTGTCCAATCACAATCGGCCGGTGTTAAGACATTACAGAACCATCGTTAAGTCACAATTAACCACCTGTCGAACGACATCAACATTATCGAAGTCTGTGTCTGTGTCGTTATCTTATCTTATCTCTCGATTACTACATCGCCAAATCATTCGAATGGCTTTTCCCGATAAATTAATATCCAATTTATCCTCACATACACGCATACAAATGATCTGTTTTCTTCATAAACGTGCGATTAATACGAACAACAAAAACGCCGTAAGTCTTGTATCTTTATGCAACTTTCGATATCGTGAATACAATGAATCATTAAATCTAGATCTACAACAGTATAAGTCTTCTGCTTTTTGCTCTGAGCTGTAAATGGCTGTAATGCAACTTTTAGCGAAAAACGTTTCCAGCGCTACTAAACGTCGCAATTCCTAAGATCCAAGTGTTATTATAACTTTTGGCGGCGCAAGAAGGACCTTTTCTCAAAAATTACTTTATACTTTATTGCTTAGAGCAAAAAACTTAAGGCTTATTACACAAATGATAGATCCGCAGATAGATAGATAAATAGATACTTTCGATACTGAATTTTCTGGGTTAACTCGTGAGACACCGGTGCGGTTTTCTACGGCACAAAAGGTACGTCGGGGACAAACACAAACGGTCAATGCAACTCGGTCCCGGTTGGAAACTATTTTATTCAGAACGATACAAAGACACTGCGTTCTAATGCAATCGTATTTAAAGAGAAAGAAACGAGCGAGGCTTACATAGACAAAAGTATCGTGTATATTTGTTTCCTCGTCTACAGATACATCGTGCCCTCTCGTGCGGCGGTATCGATCGCATGATTACGAGAACAGCGTCGTCGGAAAGAAAGAGGAGGGCAGAAGTGTGTAATACAATAACATGGTATAAATTATAATAAACGCGTCTGTCAAACGTGGCTGCGACGTGGCGGGTTGTATGGTACGTCGCGAATAATACACTGATTCCCCGGACGCGTCGGGACACAGACGTGTGAGAATCTCTCTCAGCAACCGCCTGCGAAGGTGTCCCGCGAGGATGTCAGTCGCGCATCGAGTACTTGAATATTGCGCACAGCGAGTGCAGAGCGAGCTTCGGCCGGGAGGACGCGATTCAGGCCGTCTGCACCACTTTATTCTGCGGCTCCTTCTGCGCCGAGTTGATCTTGTCGCCCAGCGACAGCGCCATACCTTGGCTCTTGGCCCTGATACGGATGTGGCCGACCACCGGAACGTTCTGCCTGTTCAGCGGCTTCTCGATCGACAGATTCGCCAACGCGTCTTCGCCGAATATCGACTTGGCGTACATATTCGCCGCCATGAATCCGCATTGTCCCGAGAGAGCCTGTGTAAACAGAATCGTGACAGGTGTTACGGTTATCTCGGCGATACTTATGAAACGGAAAAAGTGGTGGAACGTGCCTTTTCCGGCGTGAGGCAGCGCATATTCGTCGACTTCAGCAGATGCGCCAGGTACTCCCTCAGATCGGACAACGTCGTGTGGACCGACACTTTGTTCTCCCACTCGAACTCGGCCCACATCTGACGGAATTCCGCGTCGGTGCACGTCGCCGGCACTATGTAATCCATGATGTCGATGTGTATGTCGTTGAGAACGACGACGCTTCTGTCGGAGCCCGCGCCCGATACATCGTAGACTGCGAACAGACGGGAAGTTTATAGTAGGCAATCTGGCGAGATGAAAGTGGAGCAGTCGGAATACACGTCGGAAGAGGAGCCCGCGTTTCAATGTTTCCAATTTCCAATTCTACTTGGAACTATTCGATCGCTTATTACCGATATTGCCGAATATGATGCCGTTCTCCGTGGACGCGACCTTCACGTTCGCCTTGATGCTGGCGAAGTCCCTCGGCGCGAGCACGATGGGCTGCGGTCTCTCCACCAGCTTCAGGTCGCCCATAGTGGCCAATTCCAGGGTGCAGTTCTGCAGGGTGTCCTCCGTTTGATTGACTATCAGAACGTCGAGCACGATGTCGTACTGATTTACGTGCACCAGCGCCTCTGCGTACACCGGGTCCGAGAAGCCGGTGAGCTGAGCGACCTTGCTCAGGACGCTCGGCGCCGGGACGTCCCCGCTGGCGCAGGGCCGACCGGCCACGGCCGCGCTCAGACTCTGCTCGAACACATCGCCGGCGCCACCGGCCAAATCGGAGCCCCGGCTCAACTGCAGGAACTGTATCGCGTCGTCCACCTGCACGATACTGCCCGGCTTCTCCTTGGCCTGGAAAGAAACGACGGGTGAGTTTGGGAAGAATTCAATGAAACTTGCCACCACGTATCGTGCTATTAGGAAAAGATTGACCGTTCGGAAAGAGGTATTTGTAATTAAAATTCACACTTGTTCTTCTTCTGAGGTTGAGCTATTTTTCATTTCTATTTTTAATATTTCCCTATTTGATATCCCGTCCGATTTCTGTCCTCGATCTGTTGACGGATCCTATTAGATTTTCGGTGAACGTCTACCGCAAAAGGCGCGCAGAATCCGTTTCCGGCAGGTTCGGCTATCTGCGATGGCAATAGTCACCTTTTGATTCTGCGAGTCCTCCTCCGCTTTCGCGGCCAGCATTCTGCCGAGAGCGTCGCGGCATCCCTCCGTGAAGACCTTTTGTACGAGAGGTGTCGGGCAAGCGAGGGATCTGAGGCACAAGGAGATCCTCTCCGCGTCGTCGTGCGTCATCGCTTTCATGGGAAGACCCGAACGGCCCAGCTGCAACACGCTGGACATCACGAACATCGCCTCCGCCTGCAATCGATTGCTCTTCTGAATGTTGTCCTCCAATGTCTTGTAGCGGAGAGCCAGTTTCGCCAGGGTGGTGGCCAAGGACGCGCCGATAAAGAAGTCACCCTCCATCATGTATTGCACCAATGCCGGCCGCTTCTCCTCCTTCTTGCCTGTAAATCGTCACGTTCGGATATGTTCACGCGTTAAATTATAAACAGATGTTCTATACGATCGAACAACTGAGATCGGCGGCCGGGAGCCACGGGTAAAAGATGATTCGTTCAAAGTAAAGAGAGAGAAAGCAACTCACGCGCGGACGTAGCGCTGAAAGCACTCTGAGTGGCGTACGTTCCGTCGGACGTCACTAATTGCGTAGGCGCGGCTTGCGAGTTCCCGTCCTCGGTGGACTTCTCGCCGGCTTGACGCTTGTTCTCCGTCTCGAGCAACGGCAGTTCGCCCAGAGCGGCGCGCACACGGCCCATTACAGCCTCTATGTCCTCCTTGGACGTGGCGTACTCGCCGAGGATCCAGAGTGCAGCTCTGTGCACCTTCACGGACCGTATGTGAGGAAACACCTGGATCCCCATCGAAAGCCGAAAAGATTAATATTTCACGTCAACATGCCGATTCGTAGCGAAGCATTGTTCGTGAACGCAGACCTCCAAGAGCTTCTCGACGATCAGCGGTCTGAGATTCTCGAATCTCTGAATCGCCTCGCGAACGAACACGAGCACGTCCGTGGCGGCGGCCTCGTTGCTCTCCGACAGGAAATCCGTCAGCACCGGGATGACGGTGGCAGCGACATCCGAGAACTTCATGGAACAAGCGTGGAGCGTTCGCACCAAGAGCTGACGGTACCTGCCGGCATCCTCGTGCTCGCCGCCGGCTGTCCTGAGGACCTCCTTCTTCAACAACTGCACCATCTCCTCGATCGTACGAGTCGTCACCAGATCCATGGCGAGTGCCAAGGTTTTCGTCCGGACTTCCAGGGCCGGTGATCCTGTTTCGCGTAGGAAACGGTAAGCGCTAAGTAAACGCGGGAAAAACGTAATGGCAGATAATGTATAGGACAGTCATGATCGTCGATGGATCACCTAAAACGCGAAGTATATCCATCACGAGGTCCTGTAATACCCTCTCGTACGCAGGACTGTCCTTCATCGCGATCAGCCGATCGAGCACGATGAGTTTGACATTGTTGTCGCTCTCTTTGACCACCAGCTCGATGTAGCAGGAAGCCGCGGCTTTGATCGCGGTTGGCGCGCTGGAAAGTGTCACCAGCGTGCCGGCCGCTTCGTAACGCACCGCAGCACTGGGCGAATTCAGTAAACTGTAGATACATCTGATGAAGCGCGCCCTTTCCGACGGATTCGCGAGACAAACCTGGACAACGAGTTCATTAACCGTACCGTCTGTACACGTCGAACGCGCGCACAGTCGCATATTAACAGAACTATTCAGTCGGTCCCGACGTCTCCTACAGAATATACATTTCACTCGGAAAAGAATATACATTTCACTCGTTTCAATTCTTATTCAGTGTTTGTGGGAAAAGACTTTTCAATCGACCTAATACAAGCTGGCCCAAAAGTTGCTTACCAGCTCGACAAATTCGCGACTCTTTCATAAATATATATTTAAAAATCATCCAGGTTGCGCCAGAACCTTAAGAGGTGCGAAATGGTAACCGATCTTTGGGCCACCCTATATAGCTACATGCTTCATACCTTATATATCAACTCAACGATAACCAGCTGTAAAATGTCACCGAAGCTGGGCACTTGATCGAGACACGCTGCCAAGTAAGCGAGCGCTCTGCTCTGATCGGCATGCAGCAACATTAGAAACGCGTTTCTCCTGCACGACATGTCCTGTTCTCCCTCCAGATACTTAGCTATCAATTCTGGAGCGTCGGGTATGAGGAATTCGAAGTTTCTATAAATGGTGAAGATGGCGAGTACCGCGTTGCGCCTGACGTAGGAGTGTCTGTGCTCCAGACATCCTGTTATCGCCGGCATCAGTGGTTCCAGCAGTTCTGGTTCCTTCAGTTTGCACAAGAATCTGCAATGAGAAATGTAGAATATCTATGATACTTTTTGTATCATTTAATACATATATATATATATATATATATATATATATATATATATATATATATGTCTATATATATATATATATATATGTCTGTGTCTGTACCTGAGAGTGGATCCTCTGACAAACTCATTCGGATGCTGCAAGTCCTTTCTGTAGGCATCGCACACCAGAATCATCTCCTGCAGGAGTTTGCCATCGGCCGAGGTCTTCGGCACGATCTCCCAGAATATCAGCAGCAGCTTCTTAATCGTATGATCCTGATGGGGCAACACGAACCGGATGATCGTCATCAGCAGTCCGGGTAGTCTCTCGCCGCCCAGGATCATGTGAATCGTCTTCTTCAGAGCCTCGATCTTCGTGGTGACATCGCCCTTCTCGAGGTCCTGCTTCAGCTGGAGCTCGTTCAAGGGCTCCGTATCGGTCGGAATGTTTATCAGGGTGTAGCACGGCTGCTCGGTCATCGTGCTCATTTTCTTTCCGGCTTCTCTTGACGTCGCTGTAGAAGGGCAACCCGTTCGCACAACCTACGGGAATGTCAGAAGCCACGGTAGTGTCGCAACGTGGTTGGCAAACCGCACTGTAAAAGGTAGTGACGAGACACGCGTGCGTGTGTGTGTGTGTGTGTTACCAACGTCGTGTTATCATCGAATATGCATTATCGGCAATCCCATCCGCCCTTCCGAACTGAATTCGCGTGGTGTGAAGATAAGCGGGAGATGCGTGTGTGAGGTTACGTGCGCTAACATATTATGTACGATTGCGATACCGCCGATGAACCTCGCACGTGCAAGACACCCGCCAGCCGTGAACTCGGCACGTACCTGGTGTTAAAGAAAACGCCCGGGAACAAGCGACTTGTCAGAGTTCACGGGCATTTAAATAAGTGTAGACGCAAAATGGGAAAACGTTATACGTGTCTTACGTGTCAAACGCAACGTCAAGAGGTGGGCATTTCGGACGACGATGTCGCCACTTTCCCGCGGCTGCTGTTCGCGAGCATATGTCGGTAAAGAAGCGCGCGCTTGATGAACCTCCGTTGTTCACTCCGCATTACAATAATCGGTGTTTTTGGGCGAAAGCAGACGTACCGACAGCCGGATATCTGGCAAGCCCCAAGTTGATCGATTTCTTCACGGAGGTGCGATATTCAATCATCTGCTCGAAGTGAGAAATAATTACATTTTGAAGGTAGCTCGTTATACTTTGAGGATAATAATGTTACCTTCAGAGTTATTATGTAACTCGCTATCATTCTCGTTCTCGTATCAAATGCTTGTCTCGATTATCAAATTTTACCGTCCGAACTTTACTCGGATGAAACTTATTTTAGCAGAGAAACAAAGATGGAATGACGTTTACATCGTTGCGAACGTTAAGTAAAATCTGCTCAACATAATGTATGGTAAAAGGTAATACTTTTGTCACACTTCAGTTAATGAAAAGTTAGAGTTCCCGTGAACGGTCATATCTTGCTTAAAGTACCAGTTCTCGTCCGATCACTGAAGTCAAGTAGCAACGAGCGCGGTTAGTACTTGGATGGGTGACCACCTGGGAACACCGCGTACTGTTCGCATAATTTTTTTTTCAATTTTATGTTTCTTTTATGTACTTGTGTCCATATATATTTACGTATTTCTCTATTATTATATTAATATATATATATTTTTTAATGCAATTCACACTTGCAAAAATTTTGCAACTGCATCATTCTTAATCGACATGCAGTGAGAGAATCTGCAGTTTGGAGACAAAAATGTCACTAGAAACTCTACACTCATTGGCTACGGAGCCATCTGAAGACGATCTAAAATATAAGATAATTGGCCCTTTAAAACACCAGGGTGCGGATGTAACCTCAAATTTCAGCTTGCAATTGTAGCAAATGGCGAGCGGTGAAATTTATTTGACCGTGTGAAAATTCAAGAAGCTGGAGCAAGGCGAGATCAGCGAATTAAACGGAAATACGGATAACGAAGCTCTCCGTAAGTGCGAGATTATTAATAACCATATGAATAATGAATTTATCTGTAGCACACCAAATGTATCCAAGAATAAGAAAATAATGAGTAGTTTAATATTTATAGGTAAGTGGCGCATGTGAAAATAAATCGGTTTTCCGCCGGATGTTAGTAAAAAGAGATTTCAATTGAAGAAATTCAATAAAAGTAGTATATTAACGCCTGCAAACCGTGTTTAGATATGGACTCCTGCGAGGAAAAGGAGAGCAGCGGTAGCCAGGAGGAAAACGAAAAGACGCAGCCGGTGCAGACGCAAGATGCAGAAAACGAGGAAATGCTCGAGGAGCTGGAAGCCACCAGATTCGAGAATCAAATGCTCAAGCAAAGAATAACTGAAAATGAAGAAGCACTGATGAAACTGAAGCAACGTCTTGAAGCCGTAGAGAAGGAGAACCGTGGTATAGCAAGCTTGTTGAGGAATCTCGGAACTACGGACATCGACGACATTCAAATGCGTGCGGAAACCTGCAGGACTCAATAAATCGGTACGTAGAAATCACTATTTCAGAGAAAGAAAGCAAATCGTAATCGAGATGTTTCAACAGTCAATTGCAGTGTACATTAATAATTGATCTAATTACTGCCAGGTGACGCAGAAGGTAATGTTTTACAAAGTAGATGTCAAATTGTACACTTTTCTCCTTCTAATGGATATGCCGGTTAAATGCAAATGTATATGAATGACATATACATTATTTGAGAAATCTGATTGGGACTAGGCCTGATAAATGTTAAGACTATTATGCTGGATTGTGTGCAAAATCACTTGCTAAAGATTTCTTATCAATTATGGAACAGGACAGGTACGTGACAGAGCATCAGATTCAATAGATTGCAATGCAGTCTTTCTTTATACTCTATTTCTTTTCTATAGTAGATCCTCCAGAGTACTAACGTGCACACCTAATCCCAAACGTCAGCTTGCAATAATAAGAAGCAGTGACCAGTGGGGATCTAATTTACTGCTAAGAATCTTCGTACAGGAAGCTGAGTAGCGAAAAGCATCGAAGGAATTGGACAAACTTCTTGAAATCGTAGAAGTTGTAAGCTGATGCATAGAAAGCTTGGGGGATCTTGGTAATGTGTACTTCGACGAATTTCAAATGACGATGGAACTCTGTAGAGCTCAATAAATCACGCAGTACAAAAATACTATAATAGAGTGAGAAAAAATCATCACGATGAAAGTATTTCAACAGTCATTCGGTATAGATTATTAATCGATCTTCTAATTACTGCTCATTAGGTTTTTAGTGAGACGAACTTCTGCATAATCGCAGGTTTGTCGAGCTATCTCTCTCATTCTGGTCTTATTGCACAGTCAGTGTTGATGTTTCGTGCCGTCGCTTAGCGACAGCTTTTGATGTTCAATGCCATCGCTTCACGATGGCCTGATAAGATCGCAGGTGGCGCATTCACTATCATGGGCGTATTTTATCAAACATAAGACTGTCCCATTCGAAATATCTGCATAGCAAAACTGAACTTGTTGTTTGCTACGAATTACTTATCAGACTAATTATAATATGGCTGTGTTGTTTTGGCATAATATGAGTGCATCTCTCGTGGAAAAGTTCAGGGTCTTCGAACGAAAATATATTAGAGTCTGTCTAGATAAGTATAAATTAAGTGATACCACAAAAAGAGATAATAATAAAACAATCTACAATTTAGCCGGTGATCATTAAATTTGTATCATCTATTTATCTGTTTTTTTAGTATGTCAATTACTATTGCGCGTTAGTGCATTTCCATAATACTAAGCTTGAGTATCGTCTGTGAAATGCTCTGTACAAGTCCGTTTAGATCTGTTAAGCCACTTTTCGCTTGAAAAGTTTCGCTCATTCAAGCTTATTGTGTTAAGAATATTGTACGACATGTCCCTAATAAACAATCTAAAAAATAATACCAAGTTAGCATTTGGATGGTTGGCGCACCGATATTTTTTTTTGGCTCTTCTAAATTTTAACATTTTTTTCCACATTGATTAATGTTTCCCTAAAATTGTTTAATATACGTTAGACAGCACTGACAAGTGTTGTGGCTGCGACATATTTTTCACATCGTGCTTCGTTATTGGGAGAACCAACAATAGAAATAGAAACATTTGGGATTAACAATAGTAATTTTCTTCTGAAATAGTAAACAAAATAGAAGCAAATTGTGAGCGGTGCATAATTAATCAAGGTCATAAAACGGCCCGGGAAACGTGACATTTACGACGATACTCGAAATAAGACGACACATTATGAGATTACGATGCTAATCTGAATTTTCTCGCACGTGTACCGCCGCATATCTCGCTCTATCGCTCAAGTTTCTTCCGCTTGGAAATATTAACGTTATGAATCACGTTGTTTCGATCTAGATAACGTTATTTAATTCGACGTTTCTGCAATACAAACTCACGTCAGTCCAATTGATATCCAATAAAATCTGCGAAGATTTTCGCGAGGACGTTAAATATTAATCAACGTTACCGATCTGAAGTAATATCGCGGGACTAATCGATGACTAATTCGCCGTTTGGGAACGGCGTCGCGCAAACAATGAGACGGTTAAATGAGAACGAACATTCCTTCGCGGCTGTCATGCGGAGATTGTTTAGAATACCAGGAGGTAGTCGTGCGCCTCTGCGAGCACGCGCTATTGAACGACCGGATAATCTTCCATAACGCGCGCAGAAATATGCGGTTTCAGCGTCGCGCAAGGCACCTCATTCTCAAGTATCAATTGATGCCTACGCAACAATGAAGTAATGTCGTTCTTATTAGTCACACGAGATTATCGCGCGGGCCGCACGACCATGTACTAATGATAGATCCACGGAGCGCATTAAAGCGCGGCATAATTAATTAACCTTCCGCCGGGCGCAACCGACAGGCGCGGCAGAAACCTGAAATTGTCAGCAAGTGCATTTATTCCTCACACAAGAGGACAAATCAATCCCAAGGGGAATTATTTTACTGCGAGAGAAATAAGATTTTCACTCATTATACACCGTGTAAAATTACACTTTCACTTTATAATAACTATGAGAATTTCATAATAGCTTATATATAATATTATAATTTTGAAAGCTCTGAAAGAAACAGGCATTTTTCAACCTTTCTTCCCCGCGGTTGTTTCAGTTTCTCGCCACGAATAAATGAAGAAAAATTCGGAAAGAAAAACTTCAAAGCCGGCTGCGTTTTACTTGAGACGAGCAAACGCACAAACAACCTGTTTTGGCGTCTCAATACGAGTGCACATGTGCGACGTCAACATAATTGTTTCATCCAATTAGCGTAACTGCGAGTGATTATGCCGCGTCGCACGTGCCGTGGAAATGAATAAAAGTACATCGGCACGATTGTGTTGACGCGCAGAGGCGTCGGTGTGTCTTCGCGACACGTACAATCTGATAAGAAAGTTGTTAAAACCGCGATGAGTCGCGCGTCGTGTATTAAATAGCGCGCGACGAGCGTCGGATCGAAATTGACGATCGAAACAATAAATAACCGTGAATTGCGGGTGGAAAATGCGTTTGCATCGAGTCGCGTATCTGATTCTGGCGACAATGGTGATCACCTGCAAGATCTCGTGGGCCAGCACGCAGTGCAAGGCGGTCGTGATGGATGTGCACATGAAAAAGTGTAGATTCGGCTCCAGAATCAAGAGGGATGTGGAGAGACTCGATTTATTAAAGCACGATGAGAAATTTCAGTGGAAAGGACTCGGTGAGCGAAACACTATGATATAAACCGTAATTTTATGAACCGTTAATATATATTTTTTTATTGTAATATATTTTTATATTTTTATTATAAATTATATATGACGTTATAATACTATTATAAGTTTATATATATATATATATATATATAGAAAGAGAGAGAGAGAGAGATTTTTCCCTTTTTTTTTAATGAGAGAAATCTACGATTTATACACTCTTGATCAAGTAATTTCGATTTGTTCGCAATCCTTAAAAGATTTTGCTCTTGATGCAAAATAGATTGATGTGTCTCCGCTACATTCAAGTTTCACGCCTTTTTCAGGGAGGAATATCAAAAATTAAGTGTGTATGTATATGCATACTTAATTTTCATTTCGCTATTTTTAATCTGCTTCCGTTTTTTTCAGACTATTTCTCGAGCGACGTCTCGATGTCTCCTCACGGCGTTCCGCGGAAAAGACAGGTGTCGCGACGAATCGGCGATATCACCCTGCCGATCGTGGTGGATGTTATAAACGGCGCCTTCTCCGAGACGGGATATTACGATCGCACTTCGAGCTCGGCAGGACGTTCCTCCGGTTGGTCGGATTATGGTCCTACGATCTCGTCGCGTCCGCTCGTCACGCCTTTCTTCTCCACGGTAAGCCAATCGCCTCTGAAATCTATCCTGAATTACGGCAAGCCGCGTTTTCTCGACCGCTTTCGTGTTTTTCGCCATTTCTGTGACTCACAGTGTGTGTCTTACTCGACGATAAAATTCGCAACGACGAAGTAACAACGACGAGCGTAATAAAAACACCTCTAACGTTCACCACTTCCGGATTCACCTCTCCCCCAATTAACGTCGCGGACAAGCGACTTGGGATCGAACCCCCGCGACCCCGCGAAGTAATTGATAACGACGTCTTAATTAATGTAGCCTTGCTGTCGATGGAAAGATTTGTGAATAACCAATTAACCGTAAAGAAGAGAACGACGGGTCTCGAACGAGACTCATTTTAAGAGTCATCATTACATATCATTATTACGTGAATGTAACCGATTAACCGGAAAGAGAAGGAAGATGACGGATCAAATGAAACCAATCTCGAAAGTAATGACAAATACATCAAGGTGTGAGTAATCGATTAACAATGATAGGAGAAGGAATAATAAATTACAAATGAGGCTGTTTCTTGAGACTCAAGCACGACGAGGAATGAAGAGAGCGCTGTATGTTCGATAGGCCGTCAGCGACGATCTCGGCCTCGACCTGAACTCCGAAGAGCTGGACGAGCTGTACGACAATATCTACGAGAGGCTACCGAGGACTTCGAAGGAGGAAGCTTGGAAGGTTTTCCTGGAGACAGCGTCCGAGTGCTGCCAAAACGTCGACAGGTGCTTGAAGGAAGCTGTACACGTACCTTGCTTAGCGCTTTAGGTCGTTCTTAGCCTTAGGATGGCATTCATCAAAGACCGATCAAGCTAATCGGCGACTTCAAGTCGCTATTCATGGCGCCGTGAGTGAAATAAAGAACGCACATATCGGTTTAATTCGTATAAAGGTTTATTTTTCGTTCGCTATCACTAACACCCAGATGTGAGCGGCAAATTTGTCAAGATGTCCGGTAAGTAAAACTCGAGAATTGTACAGTAAAGTGGGCGTCTCTCGTTACGTGCTGTGCGATAAAACTGTTCTATCTTCAACTAAGACCGAGTGTCCTCTGAATCTCCTCGCTAAGGGCTACTTATTCCGCAACTTGGACCTCATCCATTCCGTAAACTACGGCGGACCGTAAAGTACGCGTTCGTCGATGTATATCAATTGTATAACTCGCTTAAGACCTAACGGGTGCAACGGGGTAAACTGCTGGCTTATTTTTTTTTTCCTTTTAATACTAATGAGATCATCAGTCGGCAATACAAACTAGGATCACCGGCGGGTATATCCGAGCCGAGCTGTCTCCACGCATCTGAAAGCGCGCTTAACGTCGGGATCACTTGCTTCAGAAGTCTTTCTCTACGAGATCACGATCCGATCGTCCGTCCGTCTGTCCGTCACAGCCACGGACCGCGACACCAGTCGCGACTCACGTCCAAATGTGCGACCCGCTAATTAACTTCCCCATCGCGAAATCCGAGGAAACTCATCACTTTAATGTTCTTTCGTTTCCGTCGATGAAATCATCCTTTGGGGGAAGAGAAAGAAAGAGAGAAAGAGAGAGAGAGAGGCGTCGAAAGGTAACCGTAAGTCTCTCTCTCCTCGAGCTCTTCGGTGTCGCGTCCCACGATCGAACGTTCGCCGTTGCCTCGATCGGGGATCCTTCCGGCGTGTCCTTCTCGAGATCCGAAGAAGATCACGATCGATCGACGGAATTCTGACGGCAGTCGCCGCACGAGCGACGTGCAGCGTCGGAGAGGGAGGGGGACCGCTTCGCTCCTCGGAGATTTCTCCCGATCCTCCCCCTCCTCCCGTGCGGACGGTCGCTAATTAATTGCATTGTTCTCAGCGGCGAATTACGACTCGGTAGGAAACGACGTGGGCTTGTCCGCCGCCGGTGACGTCACGAATTTGTTAGCTAGAGGCTTAACGTCGCCGCGTGAAACCTGCAACGATAGAGATGCACACGTGTTACGGCGCGTTGTTTGCGGTCGCGCTGAGTTACGGTGTGTTACTGATCATTCATTAAGTACAAGGCAACGTGCGCAAAGGAAATCGGTGGTTATTCGCGAGGCAGGCGAAGTCGGTGGCATGCGAGACATTGAAAGAACGTATCCATAGTACAAAGTTTCCAAATATATTCTGAACCCTAGCATGTATACGTTTAATACTTCAGTCGAAAATATTGAGTTAAGACAAATTTCGGCTTGCTTCTTCAAATTAGCCGAATTTGACTTTTCTCCGGTAAAGTTTAGAATATTCTCGGAAAAAGATACATTCTTCTTTGCAGTATGCGATGGTAAGCTTTCCGAAAATTGGCGATATTTTAAGGATATTTGTTGTCAAGAAGATCTCTTTTGTTGAAGATAACCATTGCTTAAAAAGAAGGAAAACAAACTGAGCAATCGCTTTTCTCAGCGGTAAGATGATATTTTTTCTTTGTGTACTTCGGAACGTCCTAAGTGCGACCCTAAGATATCACCGGGCCGTTTTTAATCGGCTGAATAACATGTTAAAGCCGTCTCGAGATGATTCGATGAAAGATCACGCCAATGAATGCCAGCCCCGTGACAATGCAATGCTTATTCGTGATTACCAGTGCAAAAGTGTGAGTTAGTCTTGCTAGAGAAATGTAATAAACACGATGAGGAATGGAGGGCACTGGACGGCGCCGTAAACAAAAACACGTCGTATCAAGCGTATTTTTACAACGTCGGAGGCCGCGTTAATTTCTCGAATGTGTACAGTAAGTCGTGTTTACCCCGAAGATACTCTCGGCCCGCCGAAGGAAGCATCGCGCAAGTATCGAGTGGCGGTCACATGCGTTTCGACGTTTTCGACAGCAAGTTTGTAAATTGTGTCGCAGGCAGGGTTGGGAAATAACACGACTAATTACTTTTAACGCCATCATTGCTTGCAAGTTGCTTCCTTTAACGTGGCAACTCGGCGATAGCGTTATTTTTTTTTCGTCGATAACGATAACCGTCGCGGTAAATAGCGCGAAAGATACTTTCCTTTCAATGCGATTGAAATCGCTTTGAAAGTTTTGTAATCTACTATGTACCGTAAAGAAATATTTTTATTGTTATTATTATTATTATTGCAATAACGGTTGATGATAATTATATCTTTTGGCAACGGTGATCATTATTTTTATCGTTATTTCTCTCATGCAGAATACATGCACATCGAAAGTAAAACTCGGCAACATCGATTCGTAAAAAAGAGAAGCTAAAAACTTGGCGAAGATTAGCAACAAAAATTGCAAGATGATAACGACTACGAGTATTTTTCCAAATGAGTAAAGCCCGTATCAGACGGGGTATTGGAGATATTAGATTTTGACGAATCAATCAATTTTTCCTAAACAATCTCCAATACCTCGTCTGATACGGGCTTGACGGTAACGATAACGAGCTGCTCTTTTTTTCCGTAGATAACAAACAACGTTAACGAATTTCACTTAAAAAAAAAAGAAGTAACCTTCCCAATCCTGATCGTACTCTCTAAGTTTCTCGGAGTAAAATTTCACTCGAAATCGAAGAACGAATCGGATGTACTCCACACTGTCACGGAAGAAATTTACTTCAGTCGATTGGAAACATTCACCCTCGTGTGGAGTCCGAATTCGTTCTGAGCTTGAACAAAACATTCACTCTTGCGATTTCGAGCGGGAATAGATTTTTATTATCGCTTCGAGCGAATACACCGTCACTTTTCGCTTGTTTCGCGTGGGAGTTCCCACTCCGAGAAATTTCGAGAGCACGTGTCGAGATGGAGTCAGCCGGGTCACTACAATCAGGCCAAGATCACCACGGCGCAAGCAACGAAGGTGTCAATGAGAGATGCGTATATATATATGTATAACAAGCAATGTCGTTCATGGAAGCACCTTGCCAGTTCGGCGACACTCCAGACGCCGACGTCGGCATCTGCAGTGCCTGCCGCGGTGTCGCTTTTTCGCGTCAGCCTTTCCCTCGCATTCACCGACATCTTTGCGACCACCTTTTCCCCTGTGCCGTCCCTTTTTCATACCATCGACCTTACGTTTTATCGCACCGCCGGCGTAGTCCATCTCCGGACTCTCCTCCGACAGATCTCTCGCCGCGTAGGGAAAAGGCATATGGACTATCCTGTACGTCTCCTCCCTGGAAAAGCGAAATCGGGCTGCGTGAGCAGACAGTGGGAACACGACGGGGGAAACGAAGAGACGAACATCGCGATTGATCCTCGCCGCCGCGACAAAACTGGGGTTTCTCTCGATTACTAGAGACAATGCGATGCGTGCTGGATGCTTTATACACAGAAAAGATTCGTCTCGAGAATAGATATATTCTCACATATGCATGCGGGAATATTATAATTTTCTCAGAAGATTTTTCATCTTCGATCTGATTGAATTTGCGTATTGATGCGAGTACTGCTTGAACTTGCTTATGTATGAAAATATCTATTTTTAAGATTAATTTTTTTCCCGTGACTTCCCAATGTTTTTCTCCTTTCACGCGGGATGGCGTCGTTATTATATAGAAGTAAAATCGATTCGTGTAGACGAAAATGCTTCTGAAAGAGCGTCTGATGGATCCTACACGGAGAATCAGCGGGCGATTCGCCGGGCTTTCGGGATTCGTCGATCTGTTTCCTCCCCCTGTTTAACCCCCGATTAGATATATACATGTACACACGCACCTTCCTACGTCTCTATCGCGACACCTTGATCCCTGTGACCGTGGAGATCGCCGATTCTAAGCCGAGATCCACCGACAAAAATACTAACCGGTCCGCGAGATATAACAAAAAACAGGTCGTTTGATACGAAACGCGAGATCTGTGTGCGGAGCCGCATAATTCGGTAAACACTTGTGTAAGAAGCCGGCCGATTAAGACTTTTTTTCGGGAAAACAAGTCGCGTAACTCGATAATAACGAAAGACAAAGCGCGAGACGACGAAGATAGAGAGAGAGAGAGAGAGAGAGAGAGAGAAAGTAATCTGCGGTAGGGAGGTACGAGGATGGCGAGAGGAGAAGGAAAAGGAGCAGAAGAGGGACAACGGGCGCAAGGATAGCGAAACGCGTTAAAATCTCTGGAGAGACTAACCCTGGCTCCGGACGAGAGGGGCCAGTTCGTGTACAACCGTGAACTTTGGTGAACAGCGACAGAGAGATTATCGTCGTGACGGCGATAAGAGACGGGGAGCCCTCTCGAACTCTCGCCCTCCCCGTTCGTTCTCGACCCCGCGTTCCGGTATCCGTTTATCTCCCGGGAGTAGTACACATCGTGCGCTCCCACCCCGGTGCATCGGTGCTCGGCGGTTGCAGAACGCCGCCGCTGCCACCTCTACTAATCAGCTGACAGCGTAAGACAAATGATTCGGCTGCGATCGATGTAAATAATTAATGCTTAACGAGCACGTTATCGCGCGTGTAATCCCGGCTATTTATAAGCGACCGTGTAATTTACGGTCGTCGCCGGGGGCAGAAATAAATTTCGTTATCGTGGAGCAGCGGAGGAGGCGGCGGCGCGCGCGCGTATTCTATTTCGCGATTACGCGGACGCGAGCGGAGTCGTCAGGCAGAAGCGAGAGGAAGAAGAAGCGCCCGTTGACTCGGGTAATATTAGAAAAAATCACCACGACGGAACGGCGGCGACGGAATGCCGTAGGTAAACAATCGTCGCGATAACCGAGCGGTCGAGCAAAATACGCGTAATTAAAAACGAGATTACTGTGACGAGTAATCGGTAGTGTGAGAGAGAGAAAAATAGGAAAAATAAAAGTAACGTTAACGCACGATCGCGAGAGCGATCGTATAATTAAATTAAATAAACGAAAGAGAGAGAGAGAGAGAGAGAAAAGAGGAAAGGGGAGAGGGGGAGATGTGAGACAGCCTTTGACACTTGGAAGAAAACGCGCGAAAGGAGAAAAGAAGATAGTCGGGACTAAACAGAGGGCCCCATGTTTTGGGTGCGATGTTAAACACAGCTAGCTGATTTTCAAACAACGTTACACGTGACGTTCGTATAACAAAAAGCGTATAAGAAAGACCTGGCAACAAACGACCTGGTTTGACACGGTTGAGTGCCGTGATGTGTGTATGTGTGAGAGAGAAAGAGAGATATTGTCACTGGTATGATCGGTACTATGATATTACCGCGTCTCATTGAGTAATTAATTGCTATCTAGGGAATTGGTTGTGCCAATAGGATTGTTGATATCTTAAACATTTCGTTTAGGAGAACGTTTCACAAGGACAACAAGGATAAAAACATTTCTAAACACGTTTCAGGCGCTGAATTCGTGCTTTAACGAAATTTGAGAACTTGAGAAAAGAAACGTTCGGACGCGCAAGAAAGTATCGATCGCAATTGGGTCGATATCATTTTCCCCGACGAATTTTCCCTCCGGTCACTTTCCCGATAAAATCCGTTTTCGTCGGATTCATGAGGTACAGAGATTGTTATCCGAACAATCGGAGCACGGAACACGTTGTCAACTTGATGGGAAATATGGAGATGCCGGGAAGAAATGCGAACAATTATAAGAGTGAAAAGTAGCGAACAGTCGTGCGGATATCAATAGACGTTTGTGAGAAAGAGAAAGAGAGAAAGAAAGAGAGACCGGAGGTGCAAGCGTGATAGACGGTAGATCCTTGGAAATCCTCGTTCAAATAATTGTTACTTATCAGCACGAGAGACTCAAGTGTATATGTCCTATCGGTCATCGTCACACGAAAGTAAGTGCACGTGAGTGTGCAGCAATAGGAACTGACGAGCGGGATTGTCACAGAATAGTTTTGAAATTATGTCGGTCACGCTCTCTCGTTAGACAGACTATACACACACATATATATATATATATATATATATATATACATTTCAAATCGCATGTTTTTACTGTATCCTCAGTAATTCGATCACCGGTTTTCTTAGCTTCCGCGCGGAAACGACGGAAATAAGCGCGGCAGTCGGCGCGTTAACGTCAAACGTGCGCCCGGAATAGGACCGAAGGACGATGATCGGGGATTAGACAAGGGGTTGACGCGCGTATCCGGGTTCAAAGTGAGAACAGACGCGAGGAGAAAAAGAGAGAGAGAGAGAAAGAGAAAAAAAGAGAGAGAAAGAGAGGAGAGAGTGAATGATGAAAATAAAAGAGAGACTAACATCCACTCACATGACGTCCCTCGATTCGTCCCGCTTCTCCCCCGGTATCGGCTTGCAGTACTGCTCAAGCTGCTCGTAGGTGCACGGGTGGTAACAGCACTCGTCGACGAGGCCCTGGCCGTTGTCGGCCCGCGGCTCGTCGTCGTCGCCGTACGAGTACCCGTTGTAGCCGCGTTCCCGGCACACTATGTACAGTGCGTCGCTCAGGCTCCTCGAGCAGAGTCTCAGCGTGCCGCGGAGGGATTTGTTGAGGGGCACCGAGTCGACGATGCTCAGCACGTTCAGGAGGAGAAACGCTGCCAGTAGCACGGCTTTGCTCGCGCGCTGTACCATTTTGACGCTCCTCGACACCCGGCGGTGTGGAAATCCTGATCTCTTCTTCCTCGAGTCCCAGCCGGCGGATCTCCTCGAGATCCGGTCCCTCCGAGGGAACGTCGTCGCCGTGGAAGTCTCTCGGAAGTCCGGAAATAATACTTCCAAACTCGTCTCCTCTCAACCCCGACGTCTGACGTTTCTCCCGGAGAGGCAGTCGCGTCTCTCTTCGTCGTCGCCGGGACGATTCCCCAAAGTGAACGTCACTTCGCTTCCTCTCTGTCTCTCCCGCTCCCTTTTCCCCTCGCTTGCCCGATATCCTCGAGACATCCAAGTCGAAGATGATCCGGCGACAGCCTGCGTCCTCCTCCTCCTCGAGAGAGACCTCCGTTGGTACCGAGTTCCACGGTGCCACTGGTATCGGGCCGCCTCGCCACGCGGTTCTTGTTCCAGATTTCAGGGGACCAAGGGGAGAGAGAGGCACGATAAGGAGGGAGAAGCGGCGGCAGAGGTAGAAAGAGGAGGAGGAAGAGCAGCAGTAGCAGGAGGAGGAGGTGAAACTCAGTGGTAGACGGACTCCCGCCGGTTGCCACGACCGGCGACACGACACGGTAGAAGGGGTCGTTAGCGGCCAGACGCGCGAGCCGATGGCTCGAATTCGCTTTTTCGTGCCGGCCGCGCTCGTGAAGCAGAGAGGGACGAGAGAAGAAAAGAGAGAGAGAGAGAGAGAGAGGGGTGAAGGGCCGTGAAGATTCACCCCTTACTTCGGCAATTAGCGCGCACTTCGTGGAGTTCGCCGGTCGAAGTCCCCGTAACGTATTCCTTTGTTGGCCGAACTTCGCGCTCTTCTTTTTGTGTCGGCGGGCCTGTCTGGCCCGCACCAAGACCAGAGGTCGTTCTCTCTCTCTATCCCCCCTCCACTCTCCTATTCCTTTGTCGTACACTCTCCGAGTACTTCATCCTTCGTGTCTTCGACCGCCGAGGACGATCCGGCCGGCGACCAGAGCGAACAAAGCTCTCTCTCTCTCTCTCTCTCGTTTTTCTCCTTTCCTCTTTTCTTTCCTTTTTTTCCCTTTCTCTCTTTATCGACGAGTGTCCCTTTCCGTCTATCTCCCTTTCTCCTTCTGGCCCCCCCCCCGTCTCGCTCGCTCGGGTGCCCCTCGCGCAACGAAGGGCCCGGTCTTCTCTCCGCGCCAAGGCCAGACGCTAGACGGCTAGACGATTCCGCATTATGCTATTGTAACCGTGCTCGATGCAGCGGTTAATCGGAAGAGAGGGGACCGGGGAGAGGATTAGCCTCTCTCGTCGCGGCCCTCGTTTCGAATTCGCCGTTTTCTCTCATCTCGCTCTCTCTCTCTCTCTCTCTTTCTTCATGACCTCGTCGCGATAAATAACGCAGGTAAATTGGAGCATAGCGAAATTCTAGCTAATAACGAATAGTTCCACGCGATTCGCTACGTCGCGAAAGCGAATCGAAAGACCATACACCAGGGGCTATTGATCTGCGTCGGGGGCGGCGACGGCGGCGGAATGCACTTCGGGATCGAATGTAACGGAAATAGATCACGTTTCGCGTTACAGCTTCGCGGAACGTTGCCGTGGGTCGTTCGAGTGCACGTGTCTCGCAGGAGACTCTATTAATGCGGTCTCATTCCATAAGCGGAGTGACGTCGAAAATATCCAATCAGATATCCAGTCACGTTAAGGCCATTCCACGATGTCTATGTAAATGTGCGGCTCTAAGAAGCGTGTAGAGGTGTGTCATTGCATGAATTGTTAATAGGCCTGATGTAAATTATTTTCACTACGATCTTGCATTATGATTTATTGCAGAGACAGAGAGAGAGAGAGAGAGAGAGATGGGATTTTACAAGCGCATTTTATAGCGCGGTATTTATAGCAGCGGCCTCATTATTACAAATACCGTGCTGTGAGTCTGCACGACGCGACTGTAAGGGCCCGATGTAGCGGGCCGTAAGATCACAAACGAAATTAATTATTTACATTCCTCGCGAAATGTCGTTCTCACAATCGAAACGCGAAATTTTCAGGTGAAGGGACAAAGTTGCTGCACTGAAGCCACACAAAGTCAGCCCGCTCCGTACTTTCACGATATTATGATACCGCTGTAATCGACGGATTCCCTTCTTAAAACCGACATAGGAACTTTAGGTCCTTTCGGAAGGGGGTCGTCGGAACTCCGCCAATTTGTTCGAAATTCTGGCGAAGTCGGGCGGAATCTCCCGCGGTGCGCTTCTGCAGTGCCGCGCGCGTTCGACCGATCGATCACGTGCGCCGCACAAAAGCCGAGCGAAAGTGGGATATGCAATTGTGGGAACTATCCGGCTGCGGTTCGGCATCAATGAGACAGCCGTTATCGCCGAATGACTTATCGGAGGCCGACGGGGGAGCCGGCGTAACGACGACGTGTTGGTCGATCGGGCCGGCCGGTATCGCGATACCCCGTGTGCGCAAAAACGCGGAAGGATCATCAAGTGAGGCGGCTCCCCCTCTCTCCGCGGCCGATTCCGATCGGAGCGGCGAGACGACGACGAAGGGTGGACGGTAGCCCCGCTATCGGCCGGTTTTAATTAATCACCGCCTGTTTTGTCTCACTCTCCCAGCGCCCGCGATAAATCGGCCGCGTTTTTCCGCAGATAGGGAGGCGCGCTCGCGACCTCCTACCCTCGTTTATTTCCACTTTGATCTCGCGGCGCTTTCGATATCTTTCGACGAATGCGCGCGAGAGTGTCCCGTCCGATAGTCCCCCTACCCCCCTCCCCTTCTTCTGCCATCGTGGGCCCCGTCGGGCCGGCTGTAAACAGCGCCAATTTACAATTACTTCTTCGTCGGTGGATTTCGTTCTCGTGGATAACGACGGCTGTTTTTCGACGGCGGGAGGGATGTGGAAAAGTATCGACGCGGCGATAGCGAGCCGCCGGCGAGCGCATCTTCGCACGTAAATACGCACAGCGACCGCCACCTTTCTCATCTACTGATTCATCGGCCGGCCCGAAGTCGAAGGTCCGTCGTTCCAGAGTCCGCGCCGATATCAAGACCGCGCGCCCTGCGTCAGTGAGATCTTTTCGGAATGCTCGAGTCTGCAAATTTGAATCGCACTTTGCACGGTTCCACGTAGACCGGCTTTCCCCATCTCTAAAGGTCGTCTGCGATAGCCGTAAAGCGCGTGCGGTAAGACGTGGGCGGTAAACTAATTGACCGATCGCTTACGTCCTAAAGTAACGTCGCGGGCAGGGGCTTGTTTTGAAAGAACGGAGTATCCGAGCTTCCAAATTCGATTCTTCTCACCGGAAGAGAAGCGCCGTATCTCGTTCGAGGCAAAAGTTGCCTCGTCGTCGGGTAAATCCGACCGAGCTCGTTTTCCGCGCGGGGCTGCAAGCTTACTAACAGAAAAATGATAAGGTCAGATCGACCTGCGAAATACCAGAAACAAGTAATATTTACTTGAACGCACGGTGTACTTATCCACACATTTTTTCGCACTAGGTAAATCGGCTCGGTTACCTATCTATTCTCCGGTATAAGTCATCCCGCATTCGCGTGTGAATCACAAGCGTTCGCTCCTCGTGGATATTCGTCGACGATAGAGAGACGAGCGCGCTTAGAGCGGGTCGGCGGGCGATGAGTCAACGACTGGCGAAGGTGCTCGAGGGATCGGCCCGCCCTAAATACACGGGCGAAACTTTCGTGAATTACGCGCCTTCCGTGTGATGCGGAGATTTGGACAAAATGGAGAACCGCGACCTTCCTCTGCCTTATAGCCGAAAAGCATGGGTGTGTCGGTGCTTCTAACCATTCGCTAACTTTCTCAAGTGGAAGGCAGGCGATGCCGCGGGTGGTTGGCGCGCTCGCGGCCGTCGAAGGATCTCGACGCGTGTACTCGTTGCGCTCGACGCGCCAAGGACGCGCTCGCCACGTGCTGCAGCTACGTGGCGATGCACTCGCGCGAGTCAGCCGCGGTCGGCCGCGCGCGGTGACAATGGCGGGCCGCGGGACGGGGGTAGCGCGCGGGCGCACACACGTGATTCTCGAGTGCACGACGTTGTAATAGCGGCCACTTACCGGACCCGATGATTGAGCCTAAGTGAACCGCCTGCGCGACCGCGGGAGGTGCGTCCACTTTAGAAAACTCGTGGAAAACTAGCCTCAAGTGGTGTCACACGTGGAGCCGCCACGCGCGACTCGCGTTCCGCGCGATTCGCGCCGCGGGATAATCATGAGGAAATAGCGGCCGTTAGCGTGCCGTCGGCGATCCTCTTAGCCGAGAGGATCTTTATCTTCTTTCTTTCTTCCTTCCTTTCAGTTTTCTTCCATTCCTTTGCCCCCTCTATCGGCGACTGGGGTGTGAATCTCGAATTCGGGAGAAACGTAACGGGAGATTGAGAGGGGGCTTCGGAATTTTCAAGACAGCGTGTCGCGCGCGCCGTCTTCGCGAAAGACATTGTATCCGCGATTGATTGTTTACCCCCAGAGGGAGATTGATCGAGCCGCGACACGAGCGTTATTATTGACGCCGCGGCGAGAAATGATCGCCCGCCACGTCGATCGGACTTTTCTCTCTTTTCTTCACAAATCGTCGCGTGGCAGTGACCGCGTAATTGCCGGGGGCCGAGAGAGATCGCGCTTGGAGCGTACAAGCGCGAGCCGTGTATTCGTGTATTTTTAGAGGCGAATTATCGACGCGCGTGTGTACGCGCGAAAGGCAAGGGAATCGCAGGAGATAACGGGAAAGGAGTCTCGGCAAGGAGGAAGAACTAGGAAAACATTTGAACCCGCTCGCGCCGATAAAAGAATTTCCATGTCCCTTGGGTATGTATATTTGCAAGGATAGCCTCGCGAAAATAGCACCGCATAGGGAGATATGTGGGAATTATCAGCCGCGAGTGTGTAAAATTAGACCAGTGTTATGGCGCAGCCGGAGGAGAAGAAAAGTTGCGACACCTCCTTTTTCTCAACGAGCTACGTATCCGTGTCAGATAATAGAATTTGCTTTCTCGGTAATAACGGGAGAGAAATTTTCCTATCGGATGTGTTCCAAAGCTCAGCCGAGCCGACTGTTGCAATCTTTCCTTCTCCGATTGTGCGCGCATACGTTTACGCAAGTCGGCACCAACTTGTTCGACGGCGTACTCAGAGAAAAATATTTGGCATTTTGTCACCGTATTACTGTATTATACGCCATTGTAAAGGAATCCTAGGCGAAGCGTTTTTCTAATAAGCGTTGCTATATTTCCGCGTTAATGTCACACACACTGTGTTCATGCTACTTCGATCTTCTATTTTCGATGTGTCATTTTAACGTTCGCGAGCGTTAAAATTTATACTTCAGTGTCAATTAACATGTGGGTAATTTCATGCGAATTTCTAGACGTCACATCTGCGTTACCTT